GTGACCGTATTCACTACTTCCTCTAGTCATTATTACTAGGCGGTAGTCTGCCATATATTACATGGCCCGTACCAGGGTTGAGGAGAGTGACGCCGCATGGTTTTGGATTTATGCCCTTTATCCTGAATTATTACATCCAACACCGGCAAGACTACCTCAGCTATGCCATCATTATTGCCACCCTCCTTTTACAATAATCATTATTGCCAGTGCAGAAACACAGCAAACACTCCCCCCCCCCTTAACATATGTACAGTCCCCATTCTAAATAACATAAACTTTGAATTTGAACTGAATTGAATTTTCCAGGTAGCAGCGAGTTACCGGACCCAGCTGATGCTGTCAGCGAGTTACCGGACCCAGCTGATGCTGTCAGCGAGTTACCGGACCCAGCTGATGCTGTCAGCGAGTTACCGGACCCAGCTGATGCTGTCAGCGAGTTACCGGACCCAGCTGATGCTGTCAGCGAGTTACCGGACCCAGCTGATGCTGTCAGCGAGTTACCGGACAGATTAGATTTAGATTTTGCCACCGAAGTGGCTAGTTTATTGTGCACCCCATATCCATCCTGTGGACTGTAGCGCGAGAGCATATGGATACACAAAAGGCCTAGGAACTAGGCCCCAAAGGGTTAACAGGAATACATATGGATTTATATCTACATATCTATAGTTCACTTATCTGTTACAAGCAAATTTAGGAAATTTGCTTAGTATATCTGGTATCTTATTTTCATTAATAAGATATCTTGACATGTCACATAGGTTATTATACTGTCTGTCTCTGTATTCCTCAATAAGTGGACAATTAAGCACATAGTGTTCAAGAGAGTGACCATACCTGGAGTTTACCTGGAGAGAGTTCCGGGGGTCAACGCCCTCGCGGCCCGGTCCGAGACCAGGCCTCCTGGTGGATCAGAGCCTGATCAACCAGGCTGTTGCTGCTGGCTGCACGCAAACCAACATACGAGCCACAGCCCGGCTGATCCGGAACTGACTTTAGGTGCTTGTCCAGTGCCAGCTTGAAGACTGCCAGGGGTCTGTTGGTAATCCCCCTTATGTGTGCTGGGAGGCAGTTGAACAGTCTCGGGCCCCTGACACTTATTGTATGGTCTCTTAACGTGCTAGTGACACCCCTGCTTTTCATTGGGGGGATGGTGCATCGTCTGCCAAGTCTTTTGCTTTCGTAGTGGGTGATTTTCGTGTGCAAGTTCGGTACTAGTCCCTCTAGGATTTTCCAGGTGTATATAATCATGTATCTCTCCCTCCTGCGTTCCAGGGATACAGGTTTAGGAACCTCAAGCGCTCCCAATAATTGAGGTGTTTTATCTCCGTTATGCGCGCCGTGAAAGTTCTCTGTACATTTTCTAGGTCGGCAATTTCACCTGCCTTGAAAGGTGCTGTTAGTGTGCAGCAATATTCCAGCCTAGATAGAACAAGTGACCTGAAGAGTGTCATCATGGGCTTGGCCTCCCTAGTTTTGAAGGTTCTCATTATCCATCCTGTCATTTTTCTAGCAGATGCGATTGATACAATGTTATGGTCCTTGAAGGTGAGATCCTCCGACATGATCACTCCCAGGTCTTTGACGTTGGTGTTTCGCTCTATTTTGTGGCCAGAATTTGTTTTGTACTCTGATGAAGATTTAATTTCCTCATGTTTATCCATATCTGAGTAATTGAAATTTCTCATCGTTGAACTTCATATTGTTTTCTGCAGCCCACTGAAAGATTTGGTTGATGTCTGCCTGGAGCTTTGCAGTGTCTGCAATGGAAGACACTGTCATGCAGATTCGGGTGTCATCTGCAAAGGAAGACACGGTGCTGTGGCTGACATCCTTGTCTATGTCGGATATAAGGATGAGGAACAAGATGGGAGCGAGTACTGTGCCTTGTGGAACAGAGCTTTTCACCGTAGCTGCCTCGGACTTTACTCTGTTGACGACTACTCTCTGTGTTCTGTTAGTGAGGAAATTATAGATCCATCGACCGACTTTTCCTGTTATTCCTTTAGCACGCATTTTGTGCGCTATTACGCCATGGTCACACTTGTCGAAGGCTTTTGCAAAGTCTGTATATATTACATCTGCATTCTTTTTGTCTTCTAGTGCATTTAGGACCTTGTCGTAGTGGTCCAATAGTTGAGACAGACAGGAGCGACCTGTTCTAAACCCATGTTGCCCTGGGTTGTGTAACTGATGGGTTTCTAGATGCGTGGTGATCTTGCTTCTTAGGACCCTTTCAAAGATTTTTATGATATGGGATGTTAGTGCTATTGGTCTGTAGTTCTTTGCTGTTGCTTTAACTGCCCCCTTTGTGGAGTGGGGCTATGTCTGTTGTTTTTAGTAACTGTGGGACGACCCCCGTGTCCATGCTCCCTCTCCATAGGATGGAAAAGGCTCGTGATAGGGGCTTCTTGCAGTTCTTGATGAACACAGAGTTCCATGAGTCTGGCCCTGGGCAGAGTGCATGGGCATGTCATTTATCGCCTGTTCGAAGTCATTTGGCGTCAGGATAACATCGGATAGGCTTGTGTTAATCAAATTTTGTGGCTCTCTCATAAAAAATTCATTTTGATCTTCGACTCTCAGTCTGGTTAGCGGCTTGCTAAAAACTGAGTCATATTGGGACTTGAGTAGCTCACTCATTTCCTTGTTGTCATCTGTGTAGGACCCATCTTGTTTAAGTGGGGCCCAATACTGGACGTTGTTCTCGATTTGATTTGGCATAGGAGAAGAAATACTTTGGGTTTCTTTCGATTTCATTTATGGCTTTTAGTTCTTCCCGCGATTCCTGACTCCTAAAGGATTCTTTTAGCTTAAGTTCGATGCTTGCTATTTCTCTGACCAGTGTCTCCCTACGCATTTCAGATATATTGACCTCTTTTAGCCGCTCTGTTATTCTTTTCCGTGCCTGTAAAGGGAGCGCCTGTCTCTTTCTGTTTTACATCTACTCCTCCTTTTTCTTAGAGGAATAAGCCTTGTGCATACATCGAGTGCTACCGAGTTAATCTGTTCTAGGCATAAGTTGGGGTCTGTGTTGCTTAGTATATCTTCCAGCTTATATCGGTTAGGACTTGGTTTACTTGGTCCCACTTTATGTTTTTGTTATGAAGTTGAATTTGGTGAATGCTCCCTCGTGACTAATCTCATTATGTCGGTCTGGGGCTCCGCGCATACATGACTGAACCTCAATTATGTTGTGATCTGAGTATATTGTTTTTTGATATGGTGATATTTCTTATCAGATCATCATTGTTAGTGAAGATGAGGTCTAGTGTATTCTCCAGTCTAGTAGGCTCTATTATTTGCTGGTTTAAATTGAATTTTGTGCAGAGATTTAAAAGCTCGCGTGAGTGTGAGTTTTCATCAGAGCTGCCTCCTGGTGTTATTACTGCAACAATATTATTTGCTATATTCCTCCATTTTAGGTGCCTTAAGTTGAAATCCCCCAGGAGCAAGATGTTGGGTGCAGGAGCTGGAAGGTTTTCCAGACAGTGGTCAATTTTTAACAGCTGTTCCTGGAATTGCTGGGATGTTGCATCCGGAGGCTTGTAGACTATCACAATGACTAGGTTTTGGTTCTCGACCTTTACTGCTAAAACTTCCACTACATCATTTGAGGCATTTAGCAGTTCTGTGCAAACAAGTGACTCTGCAATGTACAGGCCAACCCCCCCCTTTTGCCTGTTCACTCTGTCACATCTGTATAGGTTGTAACCTGGGATCCATATTTCGTTGTCTAAGTGATCCTTTATGTGGGTCTCAGTGAAAGCCGCGAACATTGCCTTTGCCTCTGCAAGCAGTCCACGGATGAAAGGTATTTTGTTGTTTGTTGCTGGCTTTAGACCTGTATATTTGCAAAGAAGAATGTTATCGGACTGGTGGTATTGTTGGTACTGGGGGGGGATTTTTTTTCCGGCATTAGTATCTGTATCTGTTGGTTTGGAGTGGAGGCCATCGACTGTGGTCACATAATTTACATTTAGTTTGATCATCATCTGTGTGTCTCCCAAACTGCCAGAAGTACTTGTAACCAAGCCTAAGCCTGGCCACTACAACATCAGTCAGTCTGTTCACATTGCAAGTTGCTCCATAAACATACTTATCTACGTTCATGTTATCATAGTTGGGTTATAGATCTACTCAGGCTTCTAACTGCATTCCTATAACAATCATTTTCATTATTTACTTCTCTCCTAATATTATTCCTAATGCTAGACACAGTTATACCAAAGTTATATTCTACATTCTCCTTCTCGATACTCTTCTTGGCTAACATATCAACTTTATCATGAAGGAGTAATCCAATGTGTGATGGGATCCATAGCAATTGTACATTAATTCCTTTGTCCCTAATTTTTGAGTATCTATACCTGGCTTCCCCAATGAGCATGTTGTTGGAGTCATTATATGAGTCAAGAGCCTTCAGTGATGACATAGAATCAGTAATGATGATAGAGTCAAGCTCAGTGTCATAGGTTAGCTTTAGCGCCATTAGGATTGCAAACAATTCAGTTTGCGTGTAGACGCCCAGTTGTTAATTCTTATGCCTAACTCAACAAATTTATTATCGTTCTTAACTAGGGAGGTGGCAACAAGAGCAGATGCAGCCCTGCCAGAAGACTCCTGTTTAGATCCATCAGTGTATATAACTTGTGATAACTTGTTACTACCAGCTAGGTGAGAAATTTCTTCTTGGACACAGCTGATGCTGTCAGCGAGTTACCGGACACAGCTGATGCTGTCAGCGAGTTACCGGACACAGCTGATGCTGTCAGCGAGTTACCGGACCCAGCTGATGCTGTCAGCGAGTTACCGGACCCAGCTGATGCTGTCAGCGAGTTACCGGACCCAGCTGATGCTGTCAGCGAGTTACCGGACCCAGCTGATGCTGTCAGCGAGTTACCGGACCCCAGCTGATGCTGTCAGCGAGTTACCGGACCCAGCTGATGCTGTCAGCGAGTTACCGGACCCCAGCTGATGCTGTCAGCGAGTTACCGGACCCAGCTGATGCTGTCACTCGCCCTTATAAACCAAACAAACAAAATCATCAGAGGAGAATTATTGTAAATTTTTGTCAATTGTGGTGACATAATATCATGTTGGAGTAACTAGAAGATTAATGAGGTAAGTAGGTATATTAATGTATATTAATGTATATTAATGTATATTAATGTATATTAATGTATATTAATGTTTATTAATGTATATTAATGTATATTAATGTATATTAATGTATATTAATGTATATTAATGTATATTAATGTTTATTAATGTATATTAATGTATATTAATGTATATTAATGTATATTAATGTATATTAATGTATATTAATGTATATTAATGTTTATTAATGTGATAAAGAACAAACAAGGAAGCAAAGTAATATTTCTCTCCTCTATCTCAACATTTCTTTATATTTTATTCCCCTCAAGGAAGGTTCCTTGATGTTGGTGAGGGGGCTCTTGATTTAGGGCCCCTCATGGAAGGTTTCTTGATGTTGGTGAGGGGGCTCTTGATTTAGGGCCCCTCAGGGAAGGTTCCTTGATGTTGGTGAGGGGGCTCTTGATTTAGGGCCCCTCATGGAAGGTTTCTTGATGTTGGTGAGGGGGCTCTTGATTTAGGGCCCCTCAGGGAAGGTTCCTTGATGTTGGTGAGGGGCTCTTGATTCAGGGCCCCTCAGGGAAGGTTCCTTGATGTTGGTGAGGGGGCTCTTGATTTAGGGCCCCTCAGGGAAGGTTCCTTGATGTTGGTGAGGTGCTCTTGATTTAGGGCCCCTCAGGGAAGGTTCCTTGATGTTGGTGAGGGGGCTCTTGATTTAGGGCCCCTCAGGGAAGGTTCCTTGATGTTGGTGAGGTGCTCTTGATTTAGGGCCCCTCAGGGAAGGTTCCTTGATGTTGGTGAGGTGCTCTTGATTTAGGGCCCTCAGGGAAGGTTCCTTGATGTTGGTGAGGGGGCTCTTGATTCAGGGCCCCTCAGGGAAGGTTCCTTGATGTTGGTGAGGGGCTCTTGATTTAGGGCCCCTCAGGGAAGGTTCCTTGATGTTGGTGAGGGGCTCTTGATTTAGGGCCCCTCAGGGAAGGTTCCTTGATGTTGGTGAGGGGGCTCTTGATTCAGGGCCCCTCAGGGAAGGTTCCTTGATGTTGGTGAGGGGCTCTTGATTTAGGGCCCTCAGGGAAGGTTCCTTGATGTTGGTGGGGGGCTCTTGATTTAGGGCCCCTCAGGGAAGGTTTCCCTTGATGTTGGTGAGGGGGCTCTTGATTCAGGGCCCCTCAGGGAAGTTCCTTGATGTTGGTGAGGGCTCTTGATTTAGGGCCCCTCAGGGAAGGTTTATTGATGTTGGTGAGGGGCTCTTGATTTAGGGCCCCTCAGGGAAGGTTCCTTGATGTTGGTGAGGGGGCTCTTGATTCAGGGCCCCTCAGGGAAGGTTCCTTGATGTTGGTGAGGGGCTCTTGATTTAGGGAATTGGATCTGTGCTCCAGTTCCCCGAATTAAGCCTGAATGCCTTCCACATCGCCCCCCCCAGGCGCTGTATAATCCTCCGGGTTTAGCGCTTCCCCCTTGTTTATAATAATAATAATTTATATTTTATTACTAAGTTTATTCAGGTGGACATAAATACAGTTGCTTAAGTTATCATACACAGCAGCATTATTATAATCAAGGGGGAAGCGCTAAACCCGGAGGATTATACAGCGCCTGGGGGGGGATGTGGAAGGCATTCAGGATTAATTCGGGGAACTGGAGCACAGATCTAATTACCTAAATCAAGAGCCCCCTCACCAACATCAAGGAACCTTCCCTGAGGGGTCCTAAATCAAGAGCCCCTCACCAACATCAAGGAACCTTCCCTGAGGGGCCCTAAATCAAGAGCCCCTCACCAACATCAAGGAACCTTCCCTGAGGGGCCCTAAATCAAGAGCCCCCTCACCAACATCAAGGAACCTTCCCTGAGGGGCCCTAAATCAAGAGCCCCTCAACAACATCAAGGAACCTTCCCTGAGGGGCCCTAAATTAAGAGCCCCCTCACCAACATCAAGGAACCTTCCCTGAGGGGCCCTAAATCAAGAGCCCCTCACCAACATCAAGGAACCTTCCCTGAGGGGCCCTAAATCAAGAGCCCCCTCACCAACATCAAGGAACCTTCCATGAGGGGCCCTAAATCAAGAGCCCCTCACCAACATCAAGGCACCATCCCTGAGAGACCCTAAATCAAGAGCCCCTCACCAACATCAAGGAACCTTCCCTGAGGGGCCCTAAATCAAGAGCCCCCTCACCAACATCAAGGAACCTTCCCTGAGGGGCCCTAAATCAAGAGCCCCTCACCAACATCAAGGAACCATCCCTGAGAGACCCAAAAATCAAGAGCCCCCACCAACATCAAGGAACTTCCCTGAGGGGCCCTAAATCAAGAGCCCCCTCACCAACATCAAGGAACCTTCCCTGAGGGGCCCTAAATCAAGAGCCCCTCACCAACATCAAGGAACCATCCCTGAGAGACCCTAAATCAAGAGCCCCTCAACATCAAGGAACCTTCCCTGAGGGGATACACAGCAGCAGATGTGTTGATTATCTAAGATAACACACAATAGTCACAGTGACTTATTTACCTGTGGAATATACCTGCAGAGGGTTTAGGGGGTCAGCGCCCCCCAGCCCGGTCTGTGACCAGTCCTGGTGGCAGATCAGAGCCTGATCAACCACACTGTTACTGCTGGCCGAATGCAAACCATCATTCCTTGTAATACTTGATTATTTAAACAATAAAGGTGATATACCAGGAATAATATAAACTGTCTTTAACCCGTAAACGGTCCAAACGTATATATACGTTTTTTCAACATTTGAAAATGTGTAAAAAAACTTTGATCTACTTTTTTTTTTTGTTATATTTGAAAAATGTAAAAAAAAACGTAGATCTACTTTTGTAGCAGTACACATGTGAACATAGATCTGCTTTTGTAGCAGTACACATGTGAACGTAGATCTGCTTTTGTAGCAGTACACATGTGAATGTAGATCTGCTTTTGTAGCAGTACACATGTGAACGTAGATCTACTTTTGTATAGCAGTACACATGTGAACGTAGATCTGCTTTTGTAGAAGTACACATGTGAACGTAGATCTGCTTTTGTAGCAGTACACATGTGAATGTAGATCTGCTTTTGTAGCAGTACACATGTGAACGTAGATCTACTTTTGTAGCAGTACACATGTGAACGTAGATCTACTTTTGTAGCAGTACACATGTGAACGTAGATCTACTTTTGTAGCAGTACACATGTGAACGTAGATCTGCTTTTGTAGCAGTACACAAAGTGAACGTAGATCTACTTTTGTAGCAGTACACATGTGAACGTAGATCTACTTTTGTAGCAGTACACATGTGAGCGTAGATCTGCTTTTGTAGCAGTACACATGTGAACGTAGATCTGCTTTTGTAGCAGTACACATGTGAACGTAGATCTACTTTTGTTAGCAGTACACATGTGGAACGTAGATCTACTTTTGTAGCAGTACACATGTGAACGTAGATCTGCTTTTGTAGCAGTACACATGTGAACGTAGATCTACTTTTGTAGCAGTACACATGTGAACGTAGATTTTACTTTTGTAGCAGTACACATGTGAACGTAGATCTGCTTTTGTAGCAGTAACACATGTGAACGTAGATCGCTTTGTAGCAGTACACATGTGAACGTAGATCTACTTTGTAGCAGTACACATGTGAACGTAGATCTACTTTTGTAGCAATACACATGTGAACGTAGATCTGCTTTTGTAGCAGTACACATGTGAACGTAGATCTACTTTTGTAGCAGTACACATGTGAACGTAGATCTACTTTTGTAGCAGTACACATGTGAACGTAGATCTACTTTTGTAGCAGTACACATGTGAACGTAGATCTGCTTTTGTAGCAGTACACATGTGAACGTAGATCTACTTTTGTAGCAGTACACATGTGAACGTAGATCTACTTTTGTAGCAATACACATGTGAACGTAGATCTGCTTTTGTAGCAGTACACATGTGAACGTAGATCTACTTTTGTAGCAGTACACATGTGAACGTAGATCTACTTTTGTAGCAGTACACATGTGAACGTAGATCTAATTGGACCGTTTACGGGTTAATATGTGCAGGTAGTTTTTTCCACTCCTTTATTTTTGTACAATAAAATGTGTAGAGGTGAAGTTTGGTCACTGACTGTGTGTACTACAGAGTTGTGTTGTCTTATTCCAGTATTATAATTGTTTGGCTTAGCGCTTCTTTTTGATTATAATAATAATAATTATAATTGTTGGGGTTCCAGCCTTGATATATTTACCAACAACATATTATCCACACTGTTTGTTACCAATTTGATAAATGTGATTTAACTTGAGTTGTTTTACTCTGTCTTCAACATTCAGTATATCCAGTTGTTACTGTGTCTTCAACATTAAGTATATCCAGTTGTTACTGTGTCTTCAACATTCAGTATATCCAGTTGTTACTCTGTCTTCAACATTCAGTATATCCAGTTGTTACTGTGACGGAAAAGAATAACAGAGCGGCTAAAAGAGGTCAATATATCTGAAATGCGCAGGGAGACACTGGTCAGAGAAATAGCAAGCATCGAACTTAAGCTAAAAGAATCCTTTAGGAGTCAGGAATCGCGGGAAGAACTAAAAGCCATAAATGAAATCGAAAGAAACCCAAAGTATTTCTTCTCCTATGCCAAATCAAAATCGAGAACAACGTCCAGTATTGGGCCCCTACTTAAACAAGATGGGTCCTACACAGATGACAGCAAGGAAATGAGTGAGCTACTCAAGTCCCAATATGACTCAGTTTTTAGCAAGCCGCTAACCAGACTGAGAGTCGAAGATCAAAATGAATTTTTTATGAGAGAGCCACAAAATTTGATTAACACAAGCCTATCCGATGTTATCCTGACGCCAAATGACTTCGAACAGGCGATAAATGACATGCCATGCACTCTGCCCCAGGGCCAGACTCATGGAACTCTGTGTTCATCAAGAACTGCAAGAAGCCCCTATCACGAGCCTTTTCCATCCTATGGAGAGGGAGCATGGACACGGGGTCGTCCCTCAGTTACTAAAAACAACAGACATAGCCCC